TTTTGAGACAGTCTTGCTGTCATCCAGACTGAAGTGCAGTGGTGCAGTCTCAGCTCACTGCAACATCTACCCTCTGAATACCTGGGACTACAGGCACATGCTACCACACCTACCTAATTTTTCTATTTTTTTTAGAGATGGAGTTTTGCCATGTTGCTCAGGCTGGTCTGGAACTCCTGGGTTCAAGCAATCCGCCTGCTTCAGCCTCCCAAAGTGCTGAGATTACAGGTGTAATCCTGTAATCCCACTGCACCTGGCCTCCCATGTGATTTTTAAAAATTTTACCCATTCCAGCCAGGCACAGTGGCTCACACCTGTAATCCCAGCACTTTGAGGCAAGTAGATCACGAGGTCAGGAGATCAAGACCATCCTGGCCAACACAGTGAAACCCCACCTCTAAAAATACAAAAATTAGCTGGGCATGGTGGTGCATACTTGTAATCCCAGCTACTTGGGAGGTTGGGGCAAGAGAAGTGTTTGAACCAGGGAGTCGGAGGTTGCAGTAAGCCGAGATTGTACCACTGCACTCCAGCCTGGCAACAGAGGGAGACTCCATCTCAAAAAAAAGAAAAATTTTTACCCATTCCAGCACCTCTGCTACACTCATTTTGAGACAGTTTTGTTCCTGTTGCCCAGGCTGGAGTGCAATGACACAATCTCAGCTTGCTGCAACCTCCACCTCCCTGGTTCAAGTGATTCTCCTGCCTCAGCCTTTCTAGTAGCTGGGTTACAGGCATACGCCACCACGCCTGGCTAAGTTTGTATTTTTATTAGAGACACAGTTTCACCATGTTGGCCAGGCTGGTCTCAAACTCCTGACCTCAGGTGATCCGTCCGCCTCAGCCTCCCCAGTTGCTGGGATTACAAGTGTGAGCCACCATGCCTGCTGGCCAACCCTTATTTTTAATAACAAACTTAGATGCAGTTCAACTCATTGAAGTGAAAAGCTTGACTATACATTTTAACTATGTGTCAATTTTATAATGAAACGAAGAAGCAAAAATAAAAATCCAGCCCTAGTCTTCATACACAGATGATGGAAAGGAGAGCATTTGAAACTAGGATAACATTGGTTTTCTCTTCTTTGAGAAGTATTTCAAACCTTAGTGAATGTTAAGATTTTTATAAATAAGAATGGTGGATATAATGCAGCAGAAATCTCAATTCTTACATCTTATACATATTCAGTATAAGAATTGCCTTTAAATACCTTGGTTTTTCAGCATATGGATGATTAAACTGTATCCATTCATTTTTACTGATGCAGTAAGTCCAGGCATCACCTGATTGAAGAAAAAAGATCTATGAAATATGTTAGTCTGCTAATATGATAATGACATTTAAAAGTCACAGCTTTGGCAAGAAAGGAATAAATCAGATCATGAGTAGATACAAAGAGTGTATGTTCTTTTTTCCCCCCTGCAATTAGCCAAGTAAGCCCTTTGCATGTTATAGCCCTTCAGCAGGGCTCTTAAATGCTCCAAGATTCTTCACTGAGCAGAAGTACGCCATATAGTACAATTACAGGTATGTTATAGGATCAAAATCAAACCTTCCAACCAACCCTATAAGCCCTCTCATAAGTCTCTAATAGACTCATTTTCAGCTATTATATATGGATGATATATGATGATTTGGTTATCATAGTTTTCAAGGACTTACTTAGTGGCTGTTTATCAGTGGTAAATCCTCCAAAGAGAAAAAGATGATCTGAAGAAACTGGTGTTAGTGAGTGCCAAGATCGGCCAACTGGGCATATGCCTTGTGGAATTCTGAAAATAATAGCTAAGTTACAATATCTGCATTTAGAAGCAGCTACTGTATTTTTCAGTTTTCCTTTAAAATTTCTATGTACGTGTTATGAAAAAGACTTCAAATTTATAAAGGCTTCTTGGTATAAACAACTACATGCTTTATACTGAAATACTTTCTTTGAAGAGTCAACTTTAGACCTTTTCAACAACTGAGCACATGCTATGTACAAGGCACATAGTTATAAGAGCTGGAAACATAAAAATAAAATTCATGGGCTGGGCGTGGTGGCTCAAGCCTGTAATCCCAGCACTTTGGGAGGCCGAGGCGGGTGGATCACGAGGTCAAGAGATCGAGACCATCCTGGTCAACATGGTGAAACCCCGTCTCTACTAAAAATACAAAACATTAGCTGGGCATGGTGGCACGTGCCTGTAATCCCAGCTACTCCGGAGGCTGAGGCAGGAGAATTGCCTGAACCCGGGAGGCGGAGGTTGCGGTAAGCCGAGATCACGCCATTGCACTCCAGCCTGGGTAACAAGAGCGAAACTCCGTCTCAAAAAAATAAGAATAAAAAAATAAAATTCATTCCTTAAGGGCCTAGAAATCATGTTTATTTCAGTTACAGAAGAATTAAGCAACATTATTATATACCAGTAGTAGGAAACATAAGGTAAAAACAATCTGAATTTTGGATAAACTTATCTAAAGTGATACCTACAATTCATTCCACTCCCATGTATCCAGATTAAGATAGTGAAGATCATTCATTCTAGCATCCTAAAAAAGGATAATTAAGTTATCATTTTGAAGAACTCAAAAGCAAATCATTAAGCTCTTTAAATACTTACTCGGTATCTGCCTCCAAACACAAAGCCTTTGTTTCCGATAGTTGCGCAGGCATGGGCAGCACGAGGTGAAGGTGCTTTACCCTATTAAAGAGTCACATAAGCAAGTTAGTATGTAAGTGAACTTTTTATAAAAAACAGAGGGAAAATACCAGAGTCTCCTTTGGATATGGGATAAGAATATGTAAGGCACTTGAGCTTTAAAAGTTGGAATGTAGACTTCTAGACAACAACAGTATTCAAAGCTGATTATCAAAACTGGGCATTTAAATTTTAAGCTTTGAGATGTGTTACTGAATAACACAAAGGCTACTTTATTTTTTCTTTTTTAAAATAAAGGCTGGCATATCAAATAATATGTGCCAGAGGGAAAATAAATCTAACATTTAAGTAATACAAATTGCAATCTAGTGCTGAGTTATTTAATTACAGGTTGAATATTTGTAATCTGAAAATCCAAAATCCGAAATGCTCCAAAATCTGAAAATTTGAGTGCCAACATGATGCTGAAAGGAAATGCTCATTGAAGCACTTCAGACCTTTGAATTAGAGATGTTGACTGTTAAGTATATCATGTAAATATTCCAAAATCTAAAAAAAATCTGAAATCTGAAACACTTCTACCACTTAAAATGTATTAGATAATAGATGCTGGGTTAGTCACTTCATACATTCATTAAACTTCTGAGTTCTAGGTTCCTTGGAAATCATGAAAATTATAGATCTTCTCTGCTGGGCGCAGTGGCTCACCCCTGTAATCCCAGCAATTTGGGAGGCTGAGGTGGGCAGATCACAAAGTCAAGAGATTGAGACCATCCTGACATGGTGAAACCCTGTCTCTACTAAAAATACAAAAATTATCTGGGCGTGGTGCCGTGCCTGTAGTCCCAGCTACCTGGGAGGCTGAGGCAGGAGAACTGCTTGAACCCGGGAGGCGAAGGTTGCAGTGAGCCGAGATCACAACACTGCACTCCAGCCCGGCGACAGAATGAGACTCCATCTCAAAAAAAGAAAAGAAAAAAAAGAGAAAAGGATCTTCTCTCCAGAAAACAAGAATGAACTGTCACTTTTATAGTATCTTCCAACTTGAGTCCACCCTCTCCCCCCATCCCTCTCCACCACCTCTAAGTATCCTTGCTTTAACAACTCACTGTAGTTAGAGGCTGGCTCCAGGTAAAAGTTTCAGTATCTAAAATATGTACATGATCATTCCATCCTCTTGGATGACTGGAATTCTACCAAAAATAAAAATCTGAGTTATTTTACAAATCACGTTTATAAAATCAGATAGCCCGCCAGATTACCAAAGAAAAACACACAAAACTTATTAGCAAACATAAAATGTGTTGTTTCAACTACTAAGGAGGCTATATGCAAATATGAAACTTCACTTACCCAAAAAGATGTTTCATCAAATTCAAAAGTTCCCAATACTTTATCTTCTGGCAAATATCCATACCCTCCAAAAAATATTAACCTGTTTAATAAAAAACCAAGACACTAAAAATTCAAACATCCATAGGATAGGATACAAGCAACTTATCTTAGGTGCTGTGTTAAATGCTTTCATGTATTAATTCAGTTAATTTTTATATGGGCCCTATGAGGTATGTTCTATGCAAATGATTACTGGCTAAGGACACTTGAATGGTAAACCATTTTACATATAAAAACCCAAACCTATAGTGCTGCCAACTCACTTGTTTTTATATACCCAGACACCAAGTTTGTCCTTTGATGATGGAGGAACTCCTTGGCAATCAATTCTTTCCCATTGTAACACTCTGTCTGTAGACCTTGAATCCAGCATGTAGAACTGTCAGAAGCAGTGATTTCAGTTAGATTTGGTTATGTGAAAGAAAATTCAAGTTTAGCATATAATTTTACTGTGAACTACTGAAATTTTGACTGCTGACTGGCTGCCAGACTGCTCAGAGTCCAGACTAGGATTTTGTGACTAAATGCCAATTTCCTAAGTCACTAAGCACACTGTTAGTTCAACTAATTTTTTTTTTTTTTTTTTTTTTTTTAAGAGACAGGGTTTCTCTTGCCCAGGCTGTGGCACAATCATAGATTACTGTAACCTAAACTCCTGGGCTTAAGTGATCTTTCCACCTTAGCTTCCCAAGTAGATGGACTACAGGCTTGTACCACCATATCTGGCTAAGACAGCCATACATTTTGTTTTCCCATTTTATTTAGTTATTTTTTATTTCAATAGGTTTTTGGGGAACAGATGGTGTTTGGTTACATACATAAGTTCCTTCGTGGTGATTTCTGAGATTTTGGTGCACTCATCGCCCAAGCAGTGTACACTATACCCAATGTGTAGTCTTTTTTTCTTTTCTTTTTTTTTTTTTAAGTTGGAGTCTCACTCTGTCTCCCAGGCTGGAGTGCATTGGTGCCATCTCTGCTCACTGCAACCTCCACCTCCCAAGTTCAAGGAGTTCTGCCTTAGCCTCCGAGTAGCTGGTATTACAGGTGTGTACCACCACACCTGGGTAATTTTTGTATTTTCAGCAGAGATGGGGTTTCATCATGTTGCTGAGGCTGGTCTTGAACTCTTGACCTCATGATCCACCCACCTCAACTTCCCAATGTGCTAGAATTACAGGCGTGAGCCACAGCACCCAACTAATGTGTAGTCTTTTATCCTTCACCCACCTCCCACCCCTTTCCCTGAGTCCCCAAAGTCCACTGTATCATTCTTAGGCCTTTGCAGCCTCATAGGTTAGCTCCCACTTATCAGTGAGAACATAAGATGTTTGGTTTTCCATTCCTGGGTTACTTCACTTAGAATAATGGTCTCCAATTCTATCCAGGTTGCTGCAAATGCCATTATTTTGTTCCTTTTTATGGCTGAGGAGTATTCCATGGTATATATACACACCACATTTTCTTTATCCACTTGTTGACTGGTGGGCATTTGGGCTGGTTCCACATTTTTTGCAATTGCAAAATTTTGCTGATAGCCTCTGTTTTTTTGGTAGAGACAACAATCTCACTCTGTCACTCAGGCTGAAATGCAGTGGTATGATCTCAGCTCACTGCAATTTCTGCCTCCTGGGTTCAAGCAATTCTTGTGCCCCAGCCACCAGCCACCAGAGTAGCTAAGATTACAGGCATGCATCAGCATGCGCAGCTAATTTTTGTATTTTTAGTAGAGACAGGAGTTTTGCCATGTTGGCCAGGCTGGTCTCAAACTCCTGATCTCAAGTGATGGGATTATAGGCATAAGCCACCACACCTGGGCCTGATATGAGGTCTGTAGTTATTTAATTTATGGGTTTTAGGATGCTATTACCCAAAAAAATTAGGTCTAGTAATTTTATCTTTAAATTCAATTTAACAAATAAATGTTTAGTGCCTATTTAACTCTATACTTAAAACATTAAATAGGCCAAGCACAGTGGCTCACACCTGTAATCTCAACACTTTCGGGAGACTGAGGCGGGCAGATCACTTGAGGTCAGGAGTTCAAGACCAGCCTGGCCAACATGATGAACCCCCATCTCTACCAAAAATACAAAAAAAAAAAATTAGCCAGACACTGTGGCACATGCCTGTAATCCCATCTACTCAGCAAGCTGAGGCAGGAAAATCACTTAAACCTGGGAGGCAGAGTTTGCAGTGAGCCAAGATTGCAGCACTGCATCCTGGGCAACAGAGTGAGACTCCGTTAAAAAAAAAAAAAAAAGATGAAATGTTTGTCCTTCTTTCAAGGGGTTCACATCAGGCAACTGAATATATCTGACCACAATGTATCTATTTTTCACTTCTGAAACACCTAAGCTTCCTTTCAGTCAACTTGTAACACACAATCCTAGCCACCTGACATACAACTACCGTTTTTCTAACTACCCCAACAAAACCACAGCTTGTCTCCTTCCCCAAGCCTTTTCAAGTTGTGTCAGTTATTTTTCTCCTTCTTGGCTCTGCAATACATATGGCTCAATGATAGTCTATAGATGTGCCTCCACAGAATGTTTTAGGCATAAAACCCTTTCTTCAAACAAAATACTAAACAAAAGCCCAAAGGATAAAAACAAAAATGGAGCTACACTTGTTAAAACAGAGAAGGGAGGGACAGGCTGGAGCCTACCTAACACCATAGGCTCCTCCCACAGGTGTTCCAAGGCATCTCAAATCCCTAGAGTTTCTAGGAACAGTTTGAAAGCATCTTAGCCACATGTTCCATCCACTTGTCATTTCCATAACTAAGACATTTGCTTATATCTCTATCTTGGCTACTCCTTCCAATTTTATTATTCAGTTCAAGCATCACCTCTTCAGTTAAGATTTTCCTTGTTCTGTTTCCTCATCCTACCAAACACAATGTCAAAGACTTTTTCAGATTCAACAATACTTACCGAGTTATTGTCTATATGCCAGGTGCTGTATCTCTCCAGCAGATGCTACTGCAGTGGTTTACCTACTATATGTGTCCTTTCTAGAATGTGAGTTCCTAGAGATGGGAACTGTATCATTCATCTGTTTCCAGTGTCCAACCAAGTTCTCAGCACAAAGTGCTTACTAAGTTGCCAACTTAGTCGACTCCTATCAATTCATTTATTTGGCAACTCAGTAAGCACTAATATATACCATATGTATCATTTTTGACTGACTTAATCTGTCACTTACTGGTCTGAAAAAGAAGAATTGTGGGCAAAGTCTGAATAGCAGTGTCTTTGGGCACCACTTCACAGGAATGTTAACAGGTAGTTTTGTCAGTTTTAATTTATCCTATAGCTTTCTGATTGGTTGCCTGCTCAGTTTTACCCTTCTCTCCATTACATCTTGTCTTCTTTTTGACTTTAATTTTATTACCAACGTTCATCTAACATTTAAGCATTCTAAGAGAACAAGTAGCTGCAAAAAGCACAAAGAAAAACCACCCAGGAAGTTACTGCACACAGGTTACCAACAAAAGTTGATTTTACATAATGCCTAGGCAAATACAGATTGGCACACAAAATACTAAAATGCACATTCATATCATAATCAAGTACACATCATTTTTAACTGAGACACAAATAAGTCTAGGGCTAACCTTAGAAATCTGCGGTTGTCTGAAAGATAATAAAAAGGCCTCAAACCATAATCCTTAGCAACACTAACCTTATTGGTATTGCCTCTTGAATGGTGTCCTCCAAACAAGTACAGCACCCTGTCTACACACACAGCACAGCTTCCTGACATAGAAGGAGGAACATCACCTTCAGTGTTGATTTTTTTCCTGAGGGGGAATTAAATGTATATAAGTTTACCAAAGGGAAGAAATGCAAAACTATCAATTTTTCTTGTACTTATATCCTCTCAATAAAGGAATAAATTGGCCGGGCGCGGTGGCTCAAGCCTGTAATCCCAGCACTTTGGGAGGCCGAGGCGGGTGGATCACGAGGTCAAGAGATCGAGACCATCCTGGTCAACACGGTGAAACCCCGTCTCTACTAAAAATACAAAAAAAAAAAATTAGCTGGGCATGGTGGCGCGTGCCTGTAATCCCAGCTACTCAGGAGGCTGAGGCAGGAGAATTGCCTGAACCCAGGAGGCGGAGGTTGCAGTGAGCCGAGATCGCGCCATTGCACTCCAGCCTGGGTAACAAGAGCGAAACTCCGTTCCAAAATAAATAAATAAATAAAATAATAAAGGAATAAATTGAGAAGGCAGAATAGACAATGCCTCTAGGGTCTCTTTTAAGTCTGAAATTAATTCAAGGAATGTGCTTTTCCCTCTTTATCCATTCCACAGGCAGTGCCAGCTGGTCCCATGTGTACAGGCTAATGAGAGATTCTAAAAGTCTAAGTGTCATTTTATTATTCTAGGAACATACCATTTTATATTTCTCAGAAACAGCTCTTTGTTTACATGGCCATAAGTTGTTTTGTTTTTGAGTGCGCCAGGAGCCCAGAAAGAAAATCTCAACATTCCCAGTCCTGATAGATTAATTCAGTGTCTTTTCTTCAGTCACCTTTTAGCCATTCATATGTATCAGATTCAAGTCCTTTATGTAACACTAAAAACAGGTAATGCCATGTGCAAGGCATTCCTCAGTATTAACTCATTCTGAATCTAAAAATGGATCTGAATCAAAACATCTAAGGAATCTAAGATTTAAAATTCTAAAAGTATACTCCAGATCCTTCTGCTAAAACTGCCAGATATAATATTACTTTATCTTTGCTAAACTTAAAGTTTTAGAAGGCTCATTTAAAAAAAAAAAATTTAAAATACAAACAGGGTCTCACTGTGTTCCTCAGGCTGCTCTTGAACTCCTAGACTTGGCCTTCCAAAGTGCTAGGATTACAGGTGTGAGCCACCATACCTGGCCTTAAAAATTATTTTTTAAAATATGTAAATTATCAGAGAATACAATTATAAATGTCCAATTCTCTAGAAAAAGCTGTTTCTGAGTAAGAAATGGCTTCATATTAACACTAATTTGTTATATACAGAAATCATGACATTTTTAGCTTAGCTCTTAAATTTTTTTTTTTTTTTTTTTTTTTTTTTTTTTTTTTTTTTTTTTGAGAAGTTTTGCTCTTGTTGTCCAAGTTGGATTGCAATGGTGCGATCTCGGCTCACCACAACCCTCCACCTCTTGGGTTCAAGCAATTCTCTTGCCTCAGCCTCCCAACTAGTTGGGATTACAGGAGTGCACCACCACACCTGGCTAATTTTGTATTTTTAGTACAGATGGGGTTTCTCCATGTTGGTCAGGCTGGTCTCGAACTCCCAACCTCAGATGATACACCTGCCTCAGCCTCCCAAAGTGCTGGGATTACGGGTGTGAGCCACCACACCCAGCCAAAAAAATTTTTTTTGCCTTTTTTTTTTTTT